TCTGTATCAGAGGAGGTTCTAGGTTCAAATCCTGTCAGTTTTTTTTTTTTTTAATAGTTGTAGAAGGATATCCCCTGTTATAGAATTTCCGTGACATAATTTTAGAAGTTTAGTAACCATAAGAGAGATCATAAACAAGGCTGAAATCAAATAAGTAGCATGTTTCCATTTCTCACATATAGATGACTCTATTTATTATACTCAAATTATCCAAACTGTGCTTTAGCATTTTAGTGGGTATTTTGTTACCCAGCATTCCAACTACAGCTTTTCCAGACAGCTACACTTCTTGGACTGGCCTCATTCAATGACACTGTCCTGTTGAATCTACCAAGAAACAAACCAGCCTGGAAACACTTGGTGAATTGGTTCACTAAGGCTACCAAGACCTAAACTGCAGGACAACCCAGGTAGTTGTCGATCTATGGATACGCTCCAGGAGCCTGGGATATCCATTTGTTAATACAGTCGAACTTGGATAATTCGAACCCCAAGGGACCATAAAAAAATTCGAATTATCCAAAAATTCGAATTAAAGATGTTTTGAATAAAGGCTTAAGGCTTCTAGGGACCAAGAAAATATTCGAATTAAAGAGGTTTTCGAATTAAAGAAGTTCGAATTATCCAAGTTCTACTGTAATAATAAATATTTTGTGTGTGTTATGTGATAATGTTTCTGGTGTCTTAGAAGTGTCCTTAAGATCAAAAGTATATTTAGGGTTCCAAGCAAAGAAAAGTTTGGAGAAGATTCAAGTGATCAAAAGGAAATTGACATTTACAAGACATGTGGTGATGCTTATCTCCATGGTTAAACCAATTCCTGAAGTCCACTCCTCTCCAATTTTGCGATACAAGACATGTACTCTAAGGATCACCGTCTATTGATCATAGTGGGAAAAAATAAAAGAATGATAAAAGAGGTAGACCAAGAAAAAAAATGCAGTTAAATCTGTCTATAGCACCCCCTCTAAATAGCGTCTCCCTCTCTATAGCGCCCGATTTTAAATACGTAGTACAATACAATTTACATTAAAAGTGACCTGTCTATAGCACCCCCTCTCTATAGCACCCTATTTTGGTGAGTCCCAAGAGGGGGCGACAGGTTTAACTGTATATGATGTCTGGAATTAGAGGATGTGTACAAAACATGGTGAAATGATGTTTCATGATGGCTGCCCTCTGTATCGGAGATGAAACTATTTGATGTTGAACAGGCTTCAAAACTTTCAAAAACTACAATAATACTTCCCATAGGATATCACTATCCTGAGTTACTTCCTTTATAGTATAGTAGAGTATTCCATGAGAGACCATAGTCTAAAAACATGACTAGATTTCTCCTGGAGATGGCCTCTCATCAGAGACTGTTTCACTTGAAAGACTCCTCATAACCTGACATGATGGGAGGGACAAGCCATGTTTTAGGTCACGGTCTCTCATTGACTTAACCTTCAATGAAGGACCAGGGTTATTCATTAGTTTTGGGGCAGTCTCCTGTGGGAGGTTCTACATTATCCTATTTTAATTCAATATAAATATATTTTTTTAAAAATACTCTTTAAACACTTACTTTGATTCAACCAATTTTCAAATCCTCCAATCAAGCTACCTACTTTAATTCAACAGGAATCCCCTCTAGCTTGGGATGTTGAATTGATTGACTGTAATTATATAAGGGGAGGGTGTCTTGAGAGATTGAGGAGAAATAAGTCATTTTGTTCACACTTGGTTATCTCATGTGTCTTCAATAAAGGTCACTGTAATATCTTTCAGGGTTATTGTTTGAATCCCGAAATATATTCTAAAAGGTACAACTTTCTTAAGTTTTGTCCATGAGTGTATTGAAATAGAATGGCATGGGTGATCAGCGCTGAGCCGTACCTACAGTTGAGTCAGTAAGCTGGGAGGGTTCTCCATTGATGAGCTATGCCCTCACATTTCAATTTTTCATTATAAAAAAGGAGTGTCATACAGTAGAACTACCCCCCTGTAAAGAACAACACCTAATTTCAGAGCCAAAGTGTCCTTTAGGGAGAGGTGTCTTCTTAGCAGAGAGCTATTAAATAGTAAAAATGGCAATTTTGCAAATGAAAACTGTGCTTTGTAGAGAGGTGTCCTCTAGCGCGAGTGTCCTCTCATGGAGGTTCTACTCTATATCTATAATTAGCATAGATTTTCAGCAATATTGTTATCAAAAAGTGAGACGATGTATGATTAACCTCAATTATCTTTCAATAGAAATCCCATCAAATTCCTCCTTGGAAGACAGATTGAAGAACTGGAAGTCTGCATTCCTAATTTCTGCCAAACAAAATATCCGCAGAGTATTGAGATAAAAAAAGAAAAAGATATTTCAATATACAGTTAAACCTCTCTATAGCGCCCCCTCTAAATAGCACCTTCCTTTCTATAGCGCGATTTTAAATACGTAGTATGATGCAATTTACATTAAAAGTGACCTGTCTATAGCACCCCTTCTCTATAGCACCCTATTTTGGTGAGTCCCAAGAGGGGGCGCTATAGACAGGTTTAACTGTAAATAGCTAGATTTAATCTCTCCCAAGAATACAATTAGGAAAACACATATATTGAACTAGAAGATAATGCACCCAATTTTACAGTAGAACTTCTCTGTAAAGGACAATACATAACTTCAGAGAAACAATGTCCTTTAGGGAGAGGTATCCTCTTACCAGAGAGTTTCTAAATAGTAAAAATGGTCATTTAGGCAATGAAAAATGTCCTTTATTGAGAAGTGTCCTCTAGTGAAAGTGTCCCCTCAAGGAGGTTCTACTGTAAAGATTAATACAAAGTTCAAATAAATTGCTTGTTTATTAGATTTATAGTCTTTTCAAAGAGAATTATATTGGAAATTTATGAATCATACAATAGAAGCTTCCATGAGAAACCATCGCACAAAAAATTATAAAAATAGGCACTCCTGGTCTCTCAATGTTAATTGTGTTAAGTCACTGATTAACACAAGGTAATAAGACCAAATCCAAATAAATAAATAGTGTGTGACGTTTCGGTAACATCATTGTTACCATCTTCAGACAATACATTCAGTACTTTTGTCTTAAGATGGTAACAATGCTGTTACCGAAACATCACACACTATTTATTTATTTGGGTTTGGTCTTATTACCTTGTGTTTATAATCTATAATCCAAATTGTGCCTTATCATGTCATTGATCAAGTTCATTTTTGGTTTTACCATAAGTGGTCACTCAGGGGAAGTCTTATTTTGTTTTTTGAAATTCACACTAGCATATATTCAGAATAAAGTGGTGCAGCTTCATTCTGAAATACAGTTAAACCTGTCTATAGCACCTCCACTTGGGACTCACCAAAATAGGGTTCTATAGACAGGTCACTTTTAATGTAAATCGCATCATACTACGTATTTAAAATCGAGCGCTATAGACAGGTTTAACTGTATATTGTTGCGTTAGAAAAATAGTTTCCAGAAGTGGGAAGTAGAGCTTTATTCTTCAGTACCAAAGAACAGTCTACTACCCAAAAATTAAAGATACAAAAATTTATATAGCAATGACAATCCAAACCATTCTATGCAAATATAAATCTAACAAAATCCAAAACTTGAAATTATTTAAATTAACAAATAAACTACGCTACAATATTCTTATGTGTAACAATAGAAAACCTTGCTCCCAAGTGATGTAATGAGATTTGTATATACAGTCAAACCCAAAAGGTAACATTATTGAAATGTTTCTGATATTTCTGTAACAGCCTTGTTACCAAAACATCACTAACATTAATGATAAGGCACAATTTGGATTATCTATATTAATAAAATGGAAATTTCATAAGTGGACATCACTAAAAACTTTCGTTACAATGCATCAATTTCAACCAAATTTTCAACATTTATGTAAAACGAGATGGAGCAGGTTTTGCTTAACATCAAAATATTTTTCCTAACTTTAACATGCGTAACTTCGCTGTTATCGAATAAATACAAAAAAAAATCAACAGAGTTAATTTTATTTATATATAAATACAAAAAAAATTCAGCAATTCATTCAACTCAATCTAAAAAAATATTCAAAACAAGCAATTTTAAGATAACACCATATGTAAAACAGTCGGCCAAGAAAAAAACAACGATATTACATCTTTCTCACATATTCACACACAATCTTGATTAATAATTAAAACTAATCTTTAACATTGTTTATTATACTTCATAATATATAATATTCGTTAGGCAAACTTTCACTCGGATAAAACCCGGGCGAAGCCGGGTACACATCCGCTAGTAGATTATAAACACAAGGTAATAAGACCAAATACAAATAAATAGTGTGTGACATTTCAGTAACAGCGTTGTTACCATCTTCAGACAAAAGTACTGAATGAGAAATTTTACAACAGCATTTTGTACACTTGATAACAGGAACTATTTAAACCATGCTGTTGTAAAATTTCTCATTCAGTAATTTTGTCTGAAGATGGTAACAACGCTGTTACCGAAACGTCACACACTATTTATTTATTTGGATTTGGTCTTATTACCTTGTGTTTATCACTAACATTAATAATTTGTATTTGGGCTTGTTATCTTTTGTTTCTACCATATAATCTAAATAATTGTGTTTATTTATTATCCGCTTTTGCAAAGATTAAAAAAATTCCATGAGTCCATGATCCTTGAGCTGTGGCTTCTTCTTATAATAATATAATAAAATCCTATTATAACATCACTTAGGGCCAAGTGTATTTTCTATAACACATACACACACACAATATGCTGTTATAACCACTATAAAAAATATAAAGACTTAAAACTTGAGATCATAGAATATAACCAAGTTGGAGTTATAAAAGAAGGTGCACATATCCCGCATGTGTTTCTTTTGAACGAAAAATCAAAATTTATTTTAAGGAGAAATAACGATTATTTCCAACCTTATGGATGAAGTATGAAAGGAGATGAATTGTGAAGAGTAATGATAAACGGAAAAATAAAAGTATCCAGGGATGGGAACCCACAGTATTCCGCTTACCAGGCAGATAACATGTCCACTAGGCTACCCTGGACATATTTTTCCCGTTTGTAAAATATTATATAAAGTAATTTATAATAGGTTCTACTATATTCAATAAAATTCTGAGAGATCACACAAGGTTATGGTGTATTTTTTTACTTCTTTGTCTCTTTATTTATTTCTTCTTTTTTCTTATCTCAAAGCCATGATAATCATGGTGGGTAGTTAGCGACTGCTTTTACTGTAAGTGCACCACATGTCTACACATGTGAAAAGCAGTTAGACTTTGCACTTACAAATGTGCCAGAGCCCCATTTGGTTACTTGCACTCGCTGGTGGGGTTGGACTTTTGCAAGAATTGGGGGCCATTGGAGCATTTTTTTTTTTAAACAGAAAAAAAGTGTCCAATGCGGGAATCGAACCTGGGTCGTAGTGGTCGAAAACCAAACGGTTTAACCAGTTTAACTCTTTATTTATTATAATAAAGAATGAAGACATTTTCAGAAAAAAGTCAATTATAACTACATACTCTTAATGATAAGACACAATTTTTTAAACAGAAAAAAAGTGTCCAATGCGGGAATCGAACCCGGGTCGTAGTGGTCGAAAACCAAATGGTTTAACCAGCCTTCCACCGACCCCCCTCTTAAATTTATACAAAGCAATAATGCACCATCTATATATAACGAATGAAAACATTAAGACGCCAATGTTTCTTTTCACAAATAAATCAAACTTCTACTCTCCTTACAAAGATAAAAGTACAGTATATAAAAGCAGAATGATCCAATACAGTATTAGAGCTCTAAAGAAGCAGTCTGGTAGATTAAATTAGTGAAACCGCTGGGAGGGTTCACCACTGATGAGTAAAGCCCTCCCAATATTTTTTCATCACAGTAAGGACATTAGAAGTTTGATTTATTTGTGAAAAGAAACATTTGCCTCTTAATGTTTTGTCTTTATTTATAAATACAGTAAAACCTCTCTTTAGAGGACACCTCTCCACAAAAGACAGTTTACATTTACAAAATTACCATTTTTACAATTTAGTAACTCTCCGGTAAGAGGATACCTCTCCCTAAAGGACACTTTGGCTCTGTAATTAGGTGTTCTTTACAGGGAGGTAGTTCTACTGTCTTAAGAAATAGAGAATTGCTAGATATGTGACCATCAAGAACTACTGAGAGGGAGACCACAGTAGGAAGTGGTACAGAACAACTGGTTGGACATAGATCACTATCTCCAGAGGCTGACGGGAGATTATACAAAATGGCACTGACTGACATTTGACCTTTAAATCTATGATGACACTTGATGATAATATCCTCACATATGAAATGGAAAATCTCCAAAAATTATTAAAGATGATTGTAAACACAAGGTAATAAAACCAAATCCAAATAAATAAATAGTGTGCGACATTTCGGTAACAGCCTTGTTACCATCTTCAGACAAAAGTACTGAATGAGAAATTTAACCACAGCATGTTTTAATTTATTATTTTATTTTTGTAATTTATATTTTATTTTATTTATTTAAAACATGCTGTAGTTAAATTTCTCATTCAGTACTTTTGTCTGAAGATGGTAACAACGCTGTTACCGAAACGTCACATACTATTTATTTATTTGGATTTGGTCTTATTACCTTGTGTTTATAATCTATAATCCAAATTGTGCCTTATCAATTAAAGATGATTGTAAAATATTTGAAACTATTATAGACGCGTATGATTCTTTTTGAAAATTAAACAATTTCTACTGCTCTTACTGCAATGGAAAATTAATGGGAGGGCCTGGCTCATCGGTAGTGAACCCTCCCAGCAGATTCACCACTGATGAGCCAGGCCCTTAATTTTTCATTGCAGTAGAAATTATTTAATTTAAAAAAAAGAATCATACCCATCTATAATAGTTTCGAATTTTCATAACAGATGGTGCGCTAATGTATCATAAAGAAGATTGTAAACATTTCAGGGTTAAATTAGAGAAGAGGTTCACTGTATTCATTGGTGAGTGGTTAGCTGTTCAAATGTAATAAGTTGTTGTTGTTTCTTATCCCCTTGTGTAAAGATTACACAAATTCCATGAGTTCATGCTCCTCGAGCGTCCTGGAATGGGGTGTAGGGGTGCAGCTTTCGTTGATCATGGCACCATGATCCAGGCACACTTTGGTGAAAGTCTGACTTTGCCTGTAGTTTAAGGCCGTTCCTAACATGGAAGCAGATGCCTTTGCTGCCGACTCTAACATGAGTACAGACTCAGCTCCTCCGTATCCCTGGAGTGGGACCCTTGCTGAGGTCCATCAACCGGGTTAGTTGAAGTCAGGATTTTTAAAGAGGTCTACTCCTCTTCTAACAATGCTGCTGTTGGTCCGCGACTGCTTATTTGTCAGAGTTATTCTGCTTGTTTCGCAGCTGGCCTTCATATCTGAAGGTCGTTCCCCTATCCGCCACCTGGGGACGCGCCCTATAGCAGTCAGCTCTGCCAAGGGAAATGTAATAAGTACATCACTTGTCTACACATGAAAACATTACAAGGAGGTTAGAACCCTGCTTGCCTGGTTACTCAATTGGGAGAGACCATTGAAGCCATTTATTTTTTCTCAATTATGATAAAGCACAATATGGGTTATAGATTATAATACAAGAAAATATGACCTAATCCAAATAATATAATAGTGTGTGACGTTTCGGCAACAGCATTGTTACCATCATCCGACGAAAAAAAAATTATTCTTTTGTCTGATGATGGTAACAATGCTGTTGCCAAAACGTCAAACACTATTAAATTATTTGGAGGGGGGTCGGTGGAAGGCTGGTTAAACCGTTTGGTTTTCGACCACTACGACCCGGGTTCGATTCCCGCATTGGACACTTTTTTCTGTTAAAAAAAAAAAAATGCTCCAATGGCCCCCGATTCTTGCAAAAGTCCAACCCCACCAACGAGTGCAAGTAACCAAACGGGGCTCTGGCACATTTGTAAGTGCAAAGTCGAACTGCTTTTCACATGTGTAGACATGTGGTGCGCTTACAGTAAAAGCAGTCGCTAACTACCCACCATGATTATCATGGCCTGTACCACGTGACTAGGGGTAAGCAAAAAAAAAAAAAAAAAAAATTTGTTGGATTAGGTCTTATTTTCTTGTATTTTTCTCAATTATTAAAAATAAAAGTCAGAATTTTGTATCTAATTATTGAAAATTGACAACAAACCACTTAATATTGTTAATATAAATGGTATTATAAAACAACAAACCACCATAAACAGTAGAAGAGGCTCCAAGAGTCTCACTTGAACACACCTCTCTACAAAGGACAGTTTTCATTGTTAACACATTACCATTTTTACCAGGGGTTTAATGGACGAGCGGTCTAAACTGTTGGTTTTCACCCGCTATAACCCGGGATAAAAATTCTTATATTGAGCACTTTTTTTATAATAAAAAAAAAAAAATTCTAATGGCCCCTGATTCTTGCAAAAATCCAAACTCAAGTGAGTTGTGTGCAAGTAACCTTGTGACTCATTGTGTCAAGTAAGTGCAAATAACCAAACAGGGCTCTGAAAGACTTGTAAGTGCAAAGTCAAACTGCTTTTCACATGTGATGCACTTAGAGTAAACAGTTAAGTAAAGTTACTCTCTCTAAGGATAATTTATTTTAAAAATTGACCAATAAGCAACTCTCTGGTAAGAGGGCACCTATCCCTAAAGAATACTTTGGTTTTGCAACTAGATATCCTTTAGAGAGGTTTTATACAGGAAAACTTGTGCTGAGAGATGACACAAACAAAAATGCTACATGTACATCCTGTCAAGAGTGACACACCTGATAAGTGACCACATTTGTAAAATCAAATAAGACTTTAACTGGCACAACCCTGACTAATGAAAGATCACTTCCTGGAGAGACCCAGTCTCTCATGGGAGGTTTTACTATATTTGATCTGATTGCCCTTAAAAAAAAAGATGTTTGTATAAAAAGAAATGAGAGAGATTCATAATTAAATAATTTAGTAAAATATTAAAAACAACTATACACAATATATATTTACAGATATATAAACAAACGGTATAATACTCTTACAAACACAACAATTTGAAAATTGATCAATTTTGACATTGTGAACTCGAGAGGAATATATTGGGCAAGGTCAGAGCATCTGTTCAATTTCTCTGTTTCTTCACGGGGCAGCCATCACTGTCACTCAGGGTCACACTGAAGTTCTGCAACAGGAGTGGAAGGATGGCATCAACCACGTGGTTCACAACTTGGCGGATCTTAGCTTTATCAATGCCTGCTGTTGTCAGGGACTCAACATCCTTGTAGAGAAGTCCGAGGAGTATCTTGGACTGTTTGCTGGTCAGTCCTAGGTCCAGCCTGTGGGAGAAATAAATCCTGGACATTCTGGGCAGCAGAGGGAGGATTCTCTTCAGCTTGCGCTTACCCCCCGCGTAGGATGACAGCTGGGAGATCTGCTCAGAGTTGAAGGCCTTGTCCACCATCTCCCGTGTAAGACTGGTCCTCCGCAGGGACTTGGAGTGCGGGTTGGAGATGATGGAGTGGGCAAGATGGATGGACAGAGATGTGCGGGGAAGATCTTTCAGGAATCTCCTCTCAAAGAAAGGGTAGTTCTCTGCGACGAACTGCTGAGTCTTCTGGCTAGACTGGGTGGGTTTGATCATGATGCAGGTGTGTTCTCCGGTGAGGGCGTTGGGCTTGTTGCGGACATAGAGTGGCATGAAGCCTGATGACTTCCAGAACCTGAGGAGTTGCTGGCTGGCTCCGTAGGACACACCAAGATAGTCCACCTCCTCAGCTGGACGGTTGTGTAGTTGGTATAACAACTGGCCGCAGCTAGATGGCACAAGTCTCTGGTTGAGGTCTGTTAGTTCAGGGTCCTGTACCTCCAGCTCAGGGTTAAATGGAAACTTCCTGTTGAAGTAATCTTCAAGGAGGGTAAGAGCCTTGGTTCCGTAGCCCTTGCCTTGAAGACTTGGGTGGGTGGCGATCCGAACAATACGGACACCAAAGAGTCTGAAGAACTTGCATTT